AAATGGGGGATTTATTTGTCAAATTTGAATAGTACCCCATTCTTATTTCCTTTTTAATTTAATTTTAAAGTTATTTTACATTAAACTTGTAAAGTTATTATTTTGCCCTTTATATATTTGGTCAAAGTCAATATTTAGTTAATTAACGATCAAATGGATGGATCTGTTTGTCCTTCTGTTGCAATGAAATGAAGGATTTAATTTGGTTGGCACAAATGATGTTTTGAATAAAGTCTATAAAAAAATAAAAGGTTTGGAATTACAGCTGCAATTATTGAACTAAAAGTTAGATTTGAGATTCCGATATGAACCAAAACTGAATTTCTTATTTAGTTCTTGTTTGGTTTCCATTATTTCCAAAATCAAAATTTTCCTCTTTTATGTTCGACTACACACTGTTCAATAAAATAATATTACGTATAAGTTCAAAACATTTCTTCGTATTTTAACCACACATTCCTTATCAAAATATTATTTCAAAATGCATTTTTTACACAAAAGAAAAAAAAAAATTTGGGGATCAAATTGGCTCTTAAGATAACAGAAGTGCACCTTTTTTTGTTGGGGGTGCTCGAACACTAGAGAGGGATTGAACCCTCCAACTAGGAGCCGTGCTAGTTCCTTCATACAGTCTATGTCGTCATGTATTGTTAACTTTCCCATCATTCTTGGAATTATCACATGTTATCTGCAAACTTAGTTTCAGAGAGACGGGGTTCCAAGCGATAAAGTTAATTATAAGTTTTCACTTTCATTCATGAATTAAAAATGAGATATTGTATTCCTATTTATTTTATATTTCTTGCATAATTTAATTTAGAATTTTATTACAGGAATTAACACATTTCTCAATACCTTTTACTTGATTTTAGATTCACAGTTTATTCATCTTTTATTTAGCTAGGCTCCAAATTGTCGCTATGGTGTCCATGAGCTCAGATATGAGTAATGCCAGTAACATATCGTGTTCATCATCATCTCCATGATTCATGGGACTATACGAACTGATAAATCAAACCGTGCATATTTCTTGATACTGCCCATATGTAGGTGTCGAACTTCTAAATTCCTATTTGTGACTATCTATATCTATTTGTTTATTATACGATTTTCTGATCGGAGATCCATGGATCACAATGTTATCTCACATAGCTTTTCATCTTTGACAGCATCATTCTTCTCAATGCATGCCTTGGCATCCTACCAATGCATTCTTTTTTATTCAAATTGAGTGTCAAAAACCCTTTATCAATCACATTTTCAGTCCTTCCCCATCAAGTTGAATACCTTTATAAGCTCCCCTGAGCAAACAAAATATAAATGTCTCATTCATGCCTGTCCGTTTTTGTCGAGAGATCCGCCCTGCCTATATTCCCCTTCTTTCTTGTAATCATTACTAGATAATTCTTTCATGAGTGAGATATTTTATCAATATCATCATCTTATATGGTATTAGCATCAGAGTACCATTCTTTTGCTTCTCATAATGTTGAAGAAATCAATTCATGTCTTGCAATGTATGTAAACGTGAATGTCACAATATATCTTGTGCACTACATATAAGTCGTAGGGACGTGTGCCAATATTCCAATGTAAATCCTTGTACATTGATAATGTCATATAATCAAATCCTAATATGAATACGCCAATCATGCATACGAAGATATTTAGAAAATTATATTCCTTATACGTAATTCAAGTATCATGTACAAAGTGACAATGAATGATATTGTATGTCATATTTAGGGTGTAATATATATCAACAACAAGGTTCTTAGGCTAAAAATGGGTGGGGCCTAGTATCACACACCACAATTCCAAGTGTTGACACCGTACATACAAGGAGATCTCGATACCTCATTTCGGAGATCGATTGACACCTCAAGTTTTATACTGTCGAAGGTGCCTTAAGTCGAGCGGGGTGTTCTATCTTTTTACAATTTTCATTACTTAAAAGTCATTAAATTATTAATTGAAGATGAGTTACATTTTTTGAGGATCTGCGAATTTCATATTAAAAAGAAATTTCTATTTATATAGGTTAGGCTAAAGGGCATAAATATCATTTTGAAATTTCTTAAAATTATATGTGGCCTTATTGCGATACTTAATTCCATTTAATATAATTATTTAGAATTATCCATATATTATTGTGCACATTATAGCTACTCTTATACAAATTATATAGGAGCTGCATAATGACCGACAATCTACTTCTTAATTTCGGCAGCTTTTCTTATTTTTAATATAGCACCACTTCCAATATTTATAGCACTACTTAGTTTGATTCAAATTCTAGCCCCATATAAATTTAAAAAAAAAAAAAAATATTATATATATATATATATATGTATTTAAAAAAAATATTCAAGATTGTTACAATTTGGGTCGAAGTCATCTTAGAAATGTTGTGATCCGATCCATTTAGGGAGAGATATCGTGTTAAGGCTCCTCTTGAGTCTCATAGCTTAGAGTGTTCCGTGCATGTTGAGAACACATCTCATTAGAATTACATCCCCCAATCGAAAGGATAATGTATTATTTTTTACCATCAATTTGACCGTTCAAACTAATGGAGCATGAATAGGTCACTTCTACTGCACTTAAGTCATTTGTACAGAAAATTTCCCACAGAATTTGGCCAGATTACTCTTATGTGTGGTATTCACCGTGAATAAAAAATTGCCAAAAAAACCCCCGACCCACCCCTCATGTGTGTGTTCTGATAAGTTTCTGTATGAAGCCTACTTGTATACACAACATGTTTGTTTCTACTGATAGAGATAAGACTCCAGTGGAAAAATTAATTGATTTTTTTTTTTTTTAGTATCAAGCATTAATTATTTGCTTAATCATTGTTTATTGACTTTTCAGTTAAGTTACAATCAGAAACTATAAGCCAGTAATGGGTAATTAATGGGTACTTATTGCTACTTTAATTACTTTTCAGTTTTCATTAACCAATAACTTTACAACAGGCAATGGACAAAAAATAAGTCGTCGGTGCATCCCACTTTTTCACTTCTTTTAGTGACATAAATTAATTAGATAGATTGTCAAGAAACCTTTAGCAACCCGCAAGTCTTTGTTAATCATGATTTTTGATAAATTGAGAATTGCTTCTTTCCAAGGTAAAGCAATGCCATTTGTCCAAAAAAGGTTATTAAAAGTTGTAGTATAACTCAAGTAATATAATGATTGCAAAGGAGGAATAATACACTAAACAGTACTACTTAATATACCAGATCAATTTAATAAATCTTATTTAATTTTCGATAACTACCACAAACTTATCCAACAACTTTTCCATCTACAAAGCGAAGTACGACATTGTCTTACTAATTGTTATTGGAGTTATTTTGGTGCTAATTAATGATATTTTTATAGTAACATCGTTGAAAATGTTGACAAATATCGATTCTCGTTAGATCACCAATAATAATGCACGTGGCAATCATTGGAGATTTTTTTTTAATTACTTCTTCCATTTAATTAACTTAATTATTATTTTTGAAAGATCATTGCTTAAATTTTATCCAAAGTCCCTGAATTGTTTTTAGCCATCTTTAAATCTAATACTCATATGATCATCTACACAATTAATTAAATATAATAATTTACATTAAACATGATAATATTTATGTAATTTTTGTATATTACAAAATAATGATTGGATTTATAATTTATATGTTAACACTAATGTTATGCTTGTTTAATAACTTCGATTAGACATGACAATGACAACTCTTCAAATTTGAAGCGAACGCCCATTTTTAAGGAAAAATAAAGTTTAGAATAGTAAATTGATAGAGAGTATGTGAATTATTATTTTTTATTTACATGTAATATTATTTTAATAAAAAATATGTGGTTGAAAAGAAAATAAAGAAAAATGCAATTTTAAGATTTTTTAGCTCGATCTTGGATTTAATCTTGATCCGTCCCTTCCATCACTCACCTATATATACAATTGTAAATATAAAGAACAAACGAAGATAAAGTGAGATCCGTAGTTGTTAAAGACTACAATACTCAACCCCTCTTCTTCCATTCTCTCCCTTTTTTCTCACACACTTAAAAACACTCGATCCTAATTTTCTACACACATTTATAATATAGTACAATACTTTTTGTTCGAAATCCAACCTTAGATCTTGTCCAAAATGACAGACAGAGTTCACCCATCAAGCAAGCCAAATGGGAAAGGCAATGCCACCGCCACACCCGCCGTGGCAACCACCAATCCACCACTCAAATTCCCTCCTGCATCCAAAACTCACCTCCACAACCCTCCGTACCGCCCCACTCCCACTTCTCTCCACCGACACAACCGCCGCCGCTTCACCTGCCGCCGATGCTGCTGTCTCACCTGCTTCTGGTCCATTCTCCTCCTCATCGCAATCCTCCTTCTAGCCGCCATTTGCTGCGCCGCCTTCTACGCCCTCTATCATCCCCAACGCCCCGAGTTCTCTGTCAGCTCCCTGAAAATAACTCGGTTCAATCTCACCACCAATGCTGCCGATGGCACCACTTACCTGACAACAAAATTCAACCTCACGATCTCCTCCAAGAACCCCAATAAAAAAATCATCTACACCTACAATCCCATTTCGATCGCAGTATTTTCCAACCAAGTAAATTTATCAATTGGCTCCTTCACAAATTTCACCAGTTTACCAAACAACATCTTCATAATTCACACCTCTACCGGATTATCATCCCAGGTTCTTGACGTTGATTCTGTAAATTCAATAAAATCACATCTGAAGAAGAAAAAAGGGCTGCCGATGAAGATTTTAATGGACACTATTTTGGAAGTGAAAATGGAAAAGTTGAAGATGAAAAATATCGGGATTCGAGTCATTTGTGATAGGATTCATGGGCATATGCCAAAGGGGAAAAATTCAGCAGTTGCCAACACCTCTAAAGCAAAGTGTAAGGTTGATCTGCGAATCAAGATCTTGAAATGGAGTTTTTAATTTTTCGCTAATTTAATAATTAATTATCACTTCTACATGTTTTGTTTTCTATTGTCATTATAGTACTCGTAAATTTTCTGAGCAAGAATCGAGAGAAAATGAGGTATCTTTTAGTATAATTGAGCGGTGATGAGCTATACTTTTTTTGGTTTTATATATATATTTATGTATTGAAGTTTGAATTTTATTGTTGTTTCATTGATATTATTCAAAATTTTCCAGTCATAAATTCGTGATTTATTTGAATTTTATAATTGTTCTGAATTTGTTATTTCAAAAGTAAAGTATATATAAAATAAATTTATACCAAAATAGCAAACGTTTTAGGTTAGAGTAATCTGTTTGAGAAAATTCAGCCTCCTAATAATGTCATTAACTTTTATAGGTCCCGTCGGGGTCTTGTCTCGAATGGGGCGGATAAAACCCGTCCCGACAGGGTTGGCTGGGCGAGGAGGAAATGCCCCGCCCCGTGAAGAGATAAAATAATAAAAAGTAAATAAATAGGGCGACAAATGGGACAAGTCCTCGCCCCGCCTTCGGAGAGGGCGAGTTTTGGGTGGGATGCTGCCCCGCCTCGAACCCGCTCGTTCCATTCACTAAACTTTTATCAAAATATAATAAAATTCTAATTTTCAACAAAACCAAACAGTGGGCAGGGACTTAGTATAGTTTATTGAATTTTCCATACCGGGTAAAGTTTGTATTTAATCATCGTCCATGTCTAAATTTAGATTCTTCAAAAGGGTACGGGACCTAACCACAAACTTCGAGATGATGTGATAATGACTGTCCGCTAAGCTCTTCATTACGAGTAGTTTGCGACAGTAATATTTAATAAAAGTCCTAGCTTATGTTTGACCCTCAGTTTTTAAAATTTATTCAGTTTTTAAAATTTCTTAATTTTCAATCACATATTCAAAATCTTTATCAACTTTTTAATAACATATTTCATTAATTTTTATCAAAATCAAGGAAGGTATTAGTTCTTAGTATCAATTAATTGTATATAAAACTGAATTGTGTACCAGATTGAACTGTATCAACTATCAAGAATTCTAATGTTCAGATGAAATATTTATTTAATCAATTACACTTAAATAGTTACATCCAGTTTTATCCAATGTTTTAAAATGAGCGCGTGTATATGATCGTGGCGTGTTCGAAACGCTCCTTATATGGGCTATGCGCATGATAAAGTGATCAACTTATTTTGTTGATTACATATGCATGCTTAAATATCAAAATACGCACGTATGTGTGTTAAAATTTGTATCAAAATTACTTAGTAAAATCCAGCTCATTTTTATAACTTTTAAAAAAAGGCAAATTGAGCCCAAAAAATATCAAATTAGCTCAAATCAACCTTATGTAGGATTTTTGACGTTTTCAAAAATTAAAAATCAAAACAAATTTTTTCTAGAGTTGTAAACTATCTACACCAATCTCAAGCTTCCTTCTTTTTCGATTTTCTTATAGTTTCACTGTTGAGATCTTCATCGAGTTGCAAAAAATTTAAAGATGCATTTTTATTTAGGTATTGCTCACCCATAAGGACGTCAAAAGTCCTTTTTCTCTTCTAGTTTCTAATTGTAGGAAAAAAAAAAAATATTGATCAAACTCTTCTGTCTTCAAGTTAACAATGGCATCTTATTATTTATAAGAGGTCATAGAAATTCTCAAGTTGAAATAGAGAATCTCAATGAAAATGATTTTGTATCTGATGACATGGAAGACGATTTGAATTGAGAAGGAAAAATTAAATTGGAATCTAATAAAGAGTTAGACAAGATTTAAGGTTCTTTTTTTATAGGTAGGTGTTCGTGTCTAATCTAATAATAAAAATTTATTACCAATTAATTATAATATTTATGATTTTGAACAATATATTTTTGTTGAAAATTTGAATAATATGTACGAATTTCAAGTAATTGTAGTATTTATGATTTTGAACAATAAATAAATAAATAAATAAATATATATATATATATATATA